AGGATCCCCTAAACACACACATACTCACATGTACTGAGTTTGCTGATATAAATAGACGCTATTGCAATAACAAGTAAACGTGTGTACGTTGAACAAATTGTTTATTAGCAAAATTAACAAACACACTATAAATTGTGCTTGTAACTTTAGCATAATATTTACCTCTAGCCAACAGTGATCAGTAGATGTACAATCACCTGATGACACACACCCACTTATTCCATTCTACACACCCCAGCTATACTATTATACAGACACTCACTAGTAAAGGAGGCCCATTATTTTACATTGAAAGGTCACAATGTAACTAATGCTATACAGTGCAGTTCTGAAAGATACACAAGGCTATAATGGCTCCGAAATCACCCCAAGTTTTTATTACATTTTCTAATACATATCAATGTCCTTATGCTATGTAAAAGTTTGTGTCGATTCCGAACTCAGAATTTCAAGTTACGTACAGCCATTTTAAAAAAATGAGCCAATTTCTGAAAATTTCCCTGTACTATAGCCCATGGTTTTTTCCAAAAAAATGGCTCCGAAATCACCCCAAATTTTTATTACATTTTCTAATACATATCAATGTCCTTATGCTATGTAGAAAGTTTGAGTTGATTCCGAGCTCAAATTTTCAAGTTACAACCATTTAAAAAAAACAAGCCAATTTCTGAAAATTTCCTTGTACTATAGCCCATGGTTTTTTCCAAAAAATGGCTCCGAAATCACCCCAAATTTTTATTACATTTTCTAATACATATTGATGCACTTATGCTATGTAGAAAGTTTGAGTTGATTCCGAATTCAAATTTTCAAGTTACAGCCATTTTTAAAAACGAGCCAATTTCTGAAAATTTCCCTGTACTATAGCCCATGGTTTTTTCCAAAAAATGGCTCCGAAATCACCCCCAATTTTTATTACATTTTCTGATACATATTGATGTACTTATGCTGTGTAGAAAGTTTAAGCTGATTCCGAGCTCAATTTTTCAAGTTACGGCCATTTAAAAAAAATGAGCCAATTTCTGAAAATTTCCCTGTACTATAGCCCATGGTTTTTTCCAAAAAATGGCTCTGAAATCACTCCCAATTTTTATTACATTTTCTGATACATATTAATGCCCTTATACTCTGTAGAAAGTTTGAGCTGATTCCGACTTAAATTTTTCAAGTTACAGCCATTTTAAAAATGAACCAATTTCTGAAAATTTCCCTGTACTATAGCCCATGGTTTTTCCGAAAAATGGCTCCAAAATCACCCCCAATTTTTATTACATTTTCTGATACATATCGATGTACTTATGCTGTGTAGAAAGTTTGAGCTGATTCCGAGCTCAATTTTTCAAGTTACGGCCATTTAAAAAAAATGAGCCAATTTCTGAAAATTTCCCTGTACTCCAAAAAATGGCTCCAAAATAACCCCAAATTTTTATTAAATTTTCTGATACATATTGACATACCTTCCTCCCTCTTCCTCTTTCTCCTTCAATAGCTGAGACTGCAGCATCAGAGAAGTTCAAACATGCTGATGTGTTACTCCAAACATTAAAAGGAACCAGTTTCAAAACTCATTCCTCATATTTATCTCCTGTTCACTCCCCAGCCCCTCCCCCTCCTGAACCAATGTATGATAACATTGAAGAGAAGAGAAGAGTCCATGCTGTTAATATACAAGCATTACCTGAGATTCAACCTTGTCCAGCTTATGCAGTACCCCCGGCAGTACCACCAGGACTACACAGGCCACTTGCTGTCAATGTACAGGATCAACAATACATTGAGTTTGACTGACTGTTAGTGAGTGTGTGTTTGTATGTGTGTACTAATAGTTTGGTAACATATTGGTATTATTATTATTATTATTATTATTATTATTATTGTCTTGGTTGTTTTATTATTGTGTTATTTTTTAGTGATATAATCACTATTTTTTACGGTATTTGTACATCTATCAAGTTTAAGCTGATTCCAATCAAATTTGAATTTTTTAAAATTAGGCCAAAGTCCCCATATAGGGTCATTGGCCAAATTTCACCAAAAATGACTAGGAGAGATTTTCCAGTTTTATAGTTTTCTCTAAATCATGCTCTTATGTTTTTTCAGGTTTGAGTTGATCCCAATCAAAATTGGATTTGTAATGATTTTTAAAAGTTCCTCCAAAATAAATGGCTAGGAGAAATTACATTCTTAATTCAATCAGATTATATTGCAAAAATACAAAAAAGCAAATTTAAAATGAGTAGTAGAATTACTAGTATCAGAGTAATTAGATCTAATACTGTCGTTTTGTTGCATCATTTATTTGTACATTTAAAACTATCCAATATTAATGTTGTCTTTCCTTATTGCCAAAGCTTGCACTTCTTCTTAACACACTGATACTTCAATATTTATTTCTTCCTCTACTTCCAGTTGCTGTAGTTGTCTACAAGGAATTATCATCACACCAGAAGTATCGTCAAGGTTTTCAAGAGGCATTATAGCCAAATCATCATAACAAAGAATAATCTTTTCTCCATCTTGTGTGGAAGTAGCAGCTGCAATATTGTTATCTCTATGTGGTTGATGAGGGAATATCCAGACAGGAAGAGGAGTAGACTCATTATTACCATCAAAGAGGTATTCAAACCAACGACTGGATGAATCTGAAATTAAACAAAATAATTAATAATAAATAAAAAATAACACATTAAAAATATTATGAGTCAATACACATTATATATAGCTACCTACTAACCATCTTTTGATTGTTCAACTTCAAATGGTGAAGCCTGAGGTGAGTCAGTATTTGACACAGCAACAGCACTGTGTTTAATGACAAAATCAGAAGAAACCTTTGAATCCTAATATTAGATAATAATAACATTATAATTAAACATGACGTTACGACGTATTACCTCATCACAAATGCCTTCAACCTTGTAAGTATTAACCTCACCGCTCTAATGTAACTATTCCATTAACATGTACATTTAACTGTTATTAATTTACCTTGCTAATATCTCCAGCAACATAAGCATATTCAACACGTTCAACAGTAGGTGGTGGTACATGTACATTAGCAGTATCAGTCCTCCTACCAATATCAGCATAAGTAGCAGTGTTGCTACTAAGAGTAACAGTAGGACCAGTATTGCCAGTTGTCTCATCATCATGTTGTATCACTGTAGTACTGTTCGAAGGTGAATCAACAGAGCCAATGCTATGTGATGGCGATGAGATATTTAGTTTTTGTCTCTAATAATAAAAAAATGAATAAACCATACTTCCTGAATCTTAATTGTTAGTCATTACAAATTGTTAGTGTACAATAAATTGTTATCATCAATATAATGAAGGAGTATGGTTCATAAATCTCATTATAGAGATGAGAAACAGAATGACAGCACAGCATATTTTATAATAACAACACAACTCTTACATAATCACACTTCAATTGAACATGTACACATAAGTGCATAGGTTGAAGCCTGACTAGTATAAATGGCTACTCTATTGAGGTACTAAGGAAAAAGTGATATTGAATTACCGTATACTGGCCCTATTACTGGGATATTTTCGCGTCACTAAATTTTCGTGAATTTTGCATTTGTAAGATTTCACGAAATAATATTTTCGCGAATAGCTTGTAAACTCCACCACATGGCAATAAAAATTCAGAATTTCACGATTTTTATTTTCGTGACGGAGCAAGAAAACATAAAATCTACAAAAATTTGGCTACTTGAAAATTTCCCAGTATACGGTACCTCTTGTGGAGTTGTAGTGAAATAAGAATTATTCTGTTGAACAGAATGTCCCTATAATAGACATTTTCATAAGCATTGACATCATTACATTACATTTCATCATTCAGTATAGCTTAGGGTGAGTATTAATTGCACTCTTAAATTTTAGTGTTTTCAAGGGGACCCTGATTTATTGATATTAGCAAAAATAGAAAGAAAATCAACAGTGAAATTCCCATTAAGCAAGTTAAAAATTCCATTTTTAGCAAGTGCTAAGTACACTTGCTAGAAATAATTACATGTCATAATTAATACCCACCTTAATAGCTAGTAATTTATCAGTAGGATAATGATCCACTATATTCCTTTGTACTGGTTCAGTTGTTGGAGCTGAAGACCTTTCATCATTTGACATATCAATAGCTACTGATCCATTAGGATCATGTATCTCATAATGACTCATCACTGCTTGTGGCTGATGACAGGTAGCAATTCCTACACAATAATAATAGACTATCAACATTTATATACTATACTATACCTGAATCTGAAACAACCTGAGCTCGTCTCTTACACATCAGTAACAATGCTACCCCTATGAGTATTACTATGAGTATCACCAATAAACTAGCACCAGAAATCACTCCAGAAATGATATAAAACTTGGAGTTACTACCAGTTTCTGAACCTATTATTTTATAACATAATCACATTAGTATTATGTATTCATTCATACCAGGTGATGGGCCATCATCAGTTCCCTCAGTAATGTCAGTTGGAGAAGGTAATGGAGACATAAGAACATCATTTATATTAGAAGACATTGAATCAACAGAATTAGTGGTGCTAACTAATAATAATAAGAGTAATAATAAAATTAAAATGTTTCTAACATACTAATGGATGGTATGATAGTCACATTGAATTTTTTAGGTTGTACACAAGTCCATGGAGCAATACTGCCATTATCAATAATGTCGTGTGCTATTACATTATATGTTCTACTATATGATAGATATATTGTTTTATTATTATCAGATCCTAATATGGTAAGGGATTCATTCCTTCCATTACTAGTATCAGTAAATATCACATGACATCCATCAGCAGTTGATCCTGATACAAACACACACCGTACACTAACTGATCCATTCCCTTCAGTAGATACTAGCACATCTTGTACATTGTATGTAGCTTAAGGTTAAATATGATAAACATTAACTTAAAGAAATACAACTTACAAAATTGAACTACACATACAGTAGTATTTTCATAAGTCTTTATATGAGCAGTATAGTTTGTACATGTTTTTAATCCAGCCATTCCATATGAAAATATCTTTTCTTTTCCATTTGCTTCAACTAACTGAGTGCTTTTTTCCATTCCTTCATTAGGATAAACTCTACTAACTATTGTATACTTACACGAAACATTGCTATGTATCTAATAAAAATAACATAGTTATAAAGTCATAGAAGTAATGATAAGCTTACTAAGGTAGTAAGATTAGCAACAAATGCTTGGCTTGATTCATTAAAAGTCATTGTAATACTTTTTTTATAAATAGTACGATCTAAAATATATCTAGTAATAAAATTAAAAAATTTATTCATATTTACTTGTAGCAATGCTAAAATTATATTCTCTCCCTTGTGATACATATTGTCCAATAGATGCAGTAATACTGACAGTAACATTAGTACAAGGTAATCCAGTAGTATTCAACCATACACTAGTATCAGTAGTGTTGATATAACTGATACCATTCACTAGTACATTATATGTAGTAATAGAATAACCTCCTAAAAATATATCATCAGAATAGAAAGAAGGAGGAGACCATGACAATAACTGATCATCATTAGACCATTGTATGTCTTCAACTGGTGATATTCCTATTATATAATGAATATAATACTATTATACTTAAGGCGACTCCAATTAAATTTGTAGTTTCTCCTTTCCCACCCACTCACCCGCAGCGATATTTCAATTTTTCAATTAAAAATATTAAAAATAACAATAATGTAAGCACGTGTCTTTGAAGTGTCTTTTCACTCTTTTTTGAAGAATAATTCGGCTCTTCACCGCTCTTTAGTTCATTGATAAACAAGGAATCAGGTATAGTTGCTACTTTGTCGAAACTTTATTATTATTTTAATCAAAATTTATAATCAAAATTAACTTATTGCCCGCCCGCATCAGTGCCGCAAGTGTAAGGAGAAACTATGAATTTAATTGGAGTGGCCTGATTGTAATGTATATACTAACCTCTTACTGCTAGTGTACTAGTGCCAGAGGACACTTGTTCAAGTGGTGGATATGATATTATCTGACAGGCAATCCCAATCCCATCATTATCAGGTAACCCAGTGATAGTAAGTACTGATGATAAGTTACCAGGACCAACAGCAGGATCAGTAAAGAATATATCTCTTTGTTGTTTAACTGATTCTGTCAGTGAATCACTCCCTACTATCCAATTCAGTTCATCGCCAGCTCCTTCACAAGTAAAACTTGCTGTCTCATAAATAGGAACAGTGATGTCAGAATCAGTAGGACCAACTGTTATGTATATATCTAGAAGAACATGCAGTTATTTAGATTTTATTAATACCCATTACTTACCAGCACTGCGTATTTCCTTTGGGATGAAAACACTTATTTGTAGTAATAGTAAGAAGACAAGAATCACCACATTCGCCACCATGAGTAAATATCTCGGTAAATACCAAAAAGTGGCGACTGGGCGTGGTGGTTTCAGATAAATTTATGTAAGATAGATCTAGATTAATTAAAAAAAAAAAAACTAAACAAGAATGCAAAAGATGGCAAGACATAGTCTCGGACATTGTGTATTTTCTATGAGCAAACGAAGCAGTTGTATACAATAAAAAGTGAAATTTTTCTCCATATCACTCAAGAATCGGAAATTCTTATCAGTAAAGGCTTTGCCCAATAATTGATTAATCTACTATAGTGTTTTAATTAGATCTAATCATAATTAAACAACAACAGTCTCATATGCTGGATTAACATTTGTGTTTAATACTTGTACTGACTGTAGAGGTCTTGCTGTTTGTTGAACTAGAAATGAGTAAATTAGATATTTAACATCATGATATCTTAGTTACTCTGTCCATATGCTGGATTATTCACTGTAATCTTGACGGAACCTTTGGTTTTAAAATTTAAAAATATACTATTAAAATAACAAAACAGCTACCTTCCCTCTTTTTTTTCAGGACACACGAGATACTAGTAGTGATGATTACAATCAGCAGCATTATTAGAAATAATGTACCAACTATAGTACATACTAACACTGTAGCAGATATCATCACTAGATATGGAGATGGGTTATCACTATGAACAGTATAAACTGTTTAAGAGTAAAATAAATAATTTCAAGTTCAACAATATACCTGTTGAGTATTCTACTTCCATTGATAACATACCTAAAGGTTACATGTAAATTAAGACACTTTAACACTTATTATTCATCAATACTTACCAGTGCTATGTATTATGCTGTAACTGCTGCTGTAGACAATAGAAGGAATAATGATGTATACGTGTTTAGGTTGTACACAAGCCCATGGAGTAATGTACCCATCAAGAATATCATGAACAGTTACATTATATACTCCACTGGTTGATACTGATACTATTGTATTGCCTGATCCAGTTATATTAAAGTATTCATTCCTTCCATTACTAGTATCAGTAAATATCACATGACATCCATCAGCAGTTGATCCTGGTACAAACGCACACTGTACACTAACTGATCCATTCCCTTCAGTAGATACTAGCACATCTTGTACATTGTATGTAGCTTAAGGTAGAGTATGCAAATTTAAAACAGAATAAATGTAGACTTACTGATAGTGACATTATCTTGATCTTCAATACCAAATAAGGAATTCAATACAATGACTTGAACAGTATAGACCTTGCATTGTTTTAATCCAGTCATTGTATATGACACTAGTCCATCAGTACTGGTATGATATGGGGTCTGTATCACTCCTTCATCAGGATATAAATTACCATATATGGTAATGTTACAGGATTGTGCTGAACTGTTTACCTAATGATGCAAAGTGATTTATAAATTAGACAACTATCATTACCAAGTTTATTAAATTAATAGAGAACAAACCACTTATATCATCATACATCAGAGTGTAATTTAATATACTGATAGTGTAATTTATGTCTATAATAGAGTAGAGTATTTCATATAACTAAGCTTTACACTTACCTGCAGCAATGTTAAAAGTATACTGTGATACATACTGTCCAATAGATGCAGTAATACTGACAGTAACATTAGTACAAGGTAATCCAGTAGTATTCAACCATACACTAGTATCAGTAGTGTTAGTATAACTGATACCATTCACTAGTACATTATAAACTGTATCTGTAATTGCAAAACCTCCTGAAATAATATCATCAGAATAGAAAGAAGGAGGAGACCATGACAATAACTGATTATCATTAGACCATTGTATGTCTTCAACTGGTGATATTCCTAATAGAGATAAATTAATTGATAATATACTTTACTAATCATAATGTATGTACTAACCTCTTATTGTTAGTGTAGCACCAGTGTTAGAGAACACTTGTTCAAAAGGTGGATACGATACTATGTGACAACCAATTCCAATTCCATTGTTAACTGGCAACCCAGTGATATTAAATATTGATGATAAGCTACCACCTTCATTAGTAGTAATGACAGATATATCTCTTTGTTGTTTAATAGACTCTGTTAGTGTAGCACTATGCACTAGCCAATTCAGTACATTGCCAGTTCCTTCACAAGTAAAACTTGCTGTCTCATAAATAGGAACAGTAACAGAGGTAGGACCAACTGATACATCTAGAAGAACAATCAAAACATGAAGTACATTCATCACACATTATTACTAGCTCCATCCACTGACAAGATCAACAAGAACAAGAGAGTGAGACTCAGACCTGATCCATTCTTAATCATTTTTGCTTTTTGACAGCACTTTTTGTAAAGATTATAATAACATGCTTTTATCAAATGAGCATGTAGTAACTGTGTAAATACACAGGTGCATATCACAGGACAAAGCAAGTTTATTTAATACGATCACTTGTCATCAATGACTGCATCTTCCAATAACAAGTAAGTCAAGATTAGTCAATAAAGTATACACACTTGGCAAAATATTTGATTGCAATAATTATTCAGCGACAACAAAAACTTGACAATTGAATGGTTCCGAAATCACTCCAAATTTTTATTACATTTTCTGATGCGTATTGATGTACTTATGCTGTGTAGAAATTTTGAGCTGATTCTGGGCTCAAATTTACAAGTTACTGCCATTTTAAAAATGAGCCAATTTCTGAAAATTTTCCTGTACTATAGCCCATGGTTTTGTTTTCAAAAAACAGCTCCGAAATCATTCTAATGTTTTATTTCTGATACATATTGACATACCTCCCTCCCTCTTTCTCTTTTTTCTTCTTCAATAGCTGAGACTGCAGCATCAGAGAAGTTCAAACATGCTGACGTGTTACTCCAAACATTAAAAGGAACCAGTTTCAAAACTCATTCCTCATATTTATCTCCTGTTCACTCCTCAGCCCCTCCTCCTCCTGAACCAATGTATAATAACATTGAAGAGAAGAGAAGAGTCCATGCTGTTAATATACAAGCATTACCTGAGATACAACCTTGTCCAGCTTATGCAGTACCCCCGGCAGTACCACCAGGACTACACAGGCCACTTGCGGTCAATGTACAGGATCAACAATACATTGAGTTTGACTGACTGTTAGTGAGTGTGTGTTTGTATGTGTGTACTAATAGTTTGGTACTATATTGGTATTATTGTTGTTATTATTATTATTATTATTATTATTATTATTATTATTATTATTATTATTATTATTATTATTATTATTGTGTTGGTTGTTTTATTATTGTGTTATTTTTTAGTGATATAATCACTATTTTTCACCTATTCAAGCCGCTCTCATATTTATTGATATTACATGTACTTATGTAGTACATGTATCACGTTTGAGCTGATTCCAATTTAAATTTGGTTTTTTTAATATTTTGGCCAAAGTCCAAATACAGGGTCTTTGATTGAATTTCACCAAAAATTACTAGGAGATATTTCTTCATTTTTACAATGCATACATATTCTTATTTTTTTGAAGTTTGAACTGCCTTTGATAGAAATTGGATTTTTATAAATTTTTAAATTTGCTCCAAAATTGAGCCAGTAAAAGCTTGTTTTAATTTTAAGCTTGCTTAAAATTAAGCTTAAGCTTAAGCTTTTTTCTTTTAATTTTTGTTTTAAATTAAGCTTGCTTAATTTTTATTATCATTTTTTGATGCATAATACATGCCTTTCTGAGTTGATTCCACTAAATTGAATTACTATAAGCATCATTTTTGTATTTTTTATTTTATAATAATAATAAATTATTTTAGTATCCTAAACTCATCATTTTTAATGCTTTTATTAATATAATTAATTTAATTTTAAACTAGTGATATTACTATTAACATTATAATAAGGGTTAAGTAATAAGATTAACACATAATAGTAATAATAATAATAATAATAATAATAATAATAATAATAATAATAATAATAATAATAATAATAATTGACACTCCAAAATAACTATTATAAATTAATGAAAAAATTACTTTAAAGTCTTAAATTTAATGTAAAAAAATAAGGTAAAAAATGAACAAAATTAATAACGAAGGAATAAGGAACAGAGAACTCTTTTGAATATACACATAACTGCAATCAACATAAACTATATTAAACTGATAAATGCTGATATATTGATATATTATGCCGTCAACTTATGTATTGATGTGGCTTGGCACTATGCTGCCTGAATTGAAAAGTAGCAGCAGTGTTGTCTGTAAAGAATGTCCAAGGAAAATAAAATAAATGACATAAAACATTTATACTAACCATCTTTTGGTTGTTCAACTGGTGGTGTAACACAAAGACTAGAAGCTCCTTTTGTGTGAGATTCTTCTTTAGCTTTAGAATAAGTGTAACCATTTGATGAAGCCTGAGGTGACTCAGCACTGCATTTACTGACAGGATCACTAGTGGTGTCTGAATTATTATAGGTAGTGGGACTATCTGACAGATCAGCAGCAACCTAATATCAGATAATAATAAATAATTATGCCATTATGTGTAATGTAGTACCTCATCTTCACTGGTAGTTGAGTTAAGATCTCCAGTAACAATATTGCTAGCATTGTCATGATGACAAAACTTAACACCCCCTCTCTAATAATAATGATAATATTAATTATAAAATAAGTTAAAATAATTACCTTATAAATATCTCCAGTAATAGTATTATATTCAACCGTTTGATCATCAGCAGGTGGAACAGTAGTATCAGTTTTAGCAATAGAAGCATAAGTAGGAGCAACAGTAGCAGTAGCGTTGTCATTACTGACATTAACTCTAACAGGAGGATCAGTAGTGTACTCAGTATCATGAATAGTATCATTTGATGTTGTTGATGATATACTGTCCTTAAAAGTTGTTTCTTGTGTGGTTGTTGATGTAAGGTGTTGATCGCATTGATTCATTGGTCCCTGAATAACATTAAAACACAATATCAATAACCAGATCAACAATAGTATGATAATCATTAAGGTAAGAAATAGACACTGTGAATCTCATTATAGAGATAGGAAAATTAGTACGTATGATGTTACACTGATACTGACTAGAGTATAAAGCTTGAAAATTTGGAATAAATTTTTAAAAACTTGGCTGCCTTCTGTAAAATTTTATGAAGGCAATATATTTGGTCAAAATAATGATAAGGATAATTATGGTAAGTTGTAATAATAACTCATTACATCTAATTAAATTTAAAGTTATAAAGTTACAGTTAATTCATTAGAATTAAATCAATTAATTACCTCAAAAAGCTGTGTGATTTATTTTATTCTATTTATTTTAGTATTAATTTATTGAGTATTAGATTACCTCACTCTTAGGACTTTCAATAACTGTTAGATAAAATTCTTGATAATCATTAGGTTCAGCTTGTGATTGCTGTGAAATAGCAATTTCTATAATAGCCTCATACAATAGGTTTATCTATAATAATGGCATATTTACCAGAGCGTTTCGATATTTCTATTTTCTCCTTCTTTCTCTTATCAAAGCTGATCATAGCCCTTATTATTATTATTATTATGAACAATATTATCACTACAATACCACCAACTGTACCAGCCACAACAATCAAAATATTGGCATCATTAGTAATTTTACCAGCTATTATAAATAATAACATAAGGTATGAGTATGTTATGTGTTTATACTTGTTAATGAGGGAGTTTCAGTTCCAGGTGTTTCAGTGACTGTAGGACTAGCAATGACAGTAGACTGAAGGGGAGGAGTAGTACCTAATGAAGAGGAACTTAATGAATTATT